TCAGTGTCATTGATGTTGGAGGAGAATGAATCATTCCGCTTTTAGATCTCGGCACAGTTGGGATATAGATGGAGCAATACTTGTGACGGGAGACGTTTTAAGAGGCTGCCGGTCATTATTGATTGAAATGAGAGGGATTGGTTTGGCTGCTGTGGTCATGAGGATTATGTTTTGACTGATAGGGATTAAGTTTAGTCTTTTGTCTGTCTCGCAGAAGACTTAACAGAACAATAAGCATCCTCAGTACTGACTGATAAGCGCGAGAGACAAGAGTCCTGTTATTGTGTGTGCTAGTGACCTGCGTGAATAGAGCTTCTCTGTTTTTTGCATGACAGGATTTTGCATACGATGACTCCAAAGTGGAATTCAATGTTGATGCTCCTAATGGTGTCGTGATGGAGGGATACCTGTTCAAGAGGGCGAGCAATGCTTTCAAGACATGGAACAGGTACGAACAGGCTCGACTGTCCGTGTGTCTTTCCTTTTGTGGAGAAAATCTGATATCGAGTTTGTTTTCTTCTCCTACCAGGCGATGGTTTTCAATACAGAACAGTCAGTTAGTGTATCAGAAGCGACTAAAAGTAGGTGGTTCAACTTTGCTGATTCAGATATTAACTTGTTTTTACTCCTTTCAAGCCCTACAAATGATTATTGTGACCTGACGTTGTAATCTGCTGTGTGTTGTAGGATGCTTTGACTGTGGTTGTGGAGGACCTGCGGCTTTGCTCTGTGAAGCCATGTGAGGACATCGAGAGAAGGTTCTGTTTTGAAGTGGTGTCACCTACAAAGTGAGTACTGTGTCACATGTGCTGTGTGTTTGTGTTGGGTATGTACAGTATCTAATATCAGATCAACCCCTATCAGGAGCTGTATGCTACAGGCTGAATCTGAGAAGCTCCGTCAAGCTTGGATTCAAGCAGTTCAGGCAAGCATTGCGTCTGCCTACAGGGAGATTTCTGATAACTATTATATTGAGGTCAGTCCAACTACTCTGTCACATTAATACATGGAATTAGACATCAATATGTAATGTGAAGTTGACATTTTACTAGCTAAACTAACTTTTATTTTAAGAGGCTTATTGGCCTTGACGCACATTCATGAGGATCTCAGGGGGTCCTTTCTATGATATCGTTTCCTGTTTTTTTTCCCTCTGTCGGTTGCACCACATGACAGGACTTTTTTTTATATATATATAAGCTGTGAAGCACTTTATACCCCTCTAAAATACATATCTTAATTGTTCTCCAGAAAGTTTTTTGAAAGCTTTTTTTTTTTTTTACATAAATGTAATAAATTAATAGTTCATAAATATCTTTACTTTTGGGGGGATTCACACCACATGACATTTTACAATCTGAACTAACCCTGCAATAATAAAAAAAACTAATTATTTTAAGAGGCTTACTGGTTTTTACACACAGTCATGATATCATTTCCTGATTTCTGAGTTATTTTTACTGTATGTTGGTCGCACCACATGACAGGACAGTGTTTATATTTATTTATTTTTAATACTAGTAACTTTTTTGTATATATAAAAAAAATATATGAATAGTAATTCACACACTTGAAAAAATTGTCGTCATATAAGAGGTGCATTCATGTCTTTTTATGTATGAATGGCATTTTTAATGTGTTTTTAAATAAACTAATACATTTGGGCACAAAAATGAGTGTCATTCCATTGACCCGATTACATAGATTGCTTTTGACACCGTTTGAATAAAGTTAAGAGCATAAACTCTTGATTCTACAGCGTTTGGACAGGACAGCGTCTCCCTCCACGAGCAGTATCGACTCTGCCAGCGAGCCGCGGGAGCGTATTGTTAAGGGAGAGAGTATCCTACAGCGGGTTAGTGAGAATTTAAGTTATCCACCTTTTCATAATGAGCCTGCTGTGTTTTAAATTTTGGGAGGCACTTCTGGTTTAGGAAAATTCCACTCAAAAAACTGAAACAACTCATTTCAAATCATAAGGTTGCACTACAAATAATCCTGATCATCAGTTTGACTGAATGAGCTGTAAATATTCCTTCATGTTCTATTTTCAGACGTCAGCAGAATAACATAATGCCTGGTATTTTAAAGGGATAGTTCTCCCAAAAATGAAAACGTTCGCTTACACACACATCTTTCGTTACCCGCTGGAACGCCACTACCTCGTGAACGCACGTACCAGTTAGAGGAAGCTAGAGATTACGGTTTATATAGTTTTAAATATGGATATTTTTCTTACACAAATGCATCGATTCGCTTCAGAAGGCCTTTATTAACCCCCCGGGGCCGTGTGGAGTACTTTCATGATGGATGGATGCACTTTTTTGGGCTTCAAAATCTTAACCCCAATTCACTGCCATTATAAAGCTTGGAAGAGCAAGGACATTTTTTAATATAACTCCGATTGTATTCGTCTGAAAGAAAGAAGAAATTCATATACACCTACACTGTTAAAAATGTTAGTGTGAAATTACAGTATATTCCAGGTTAATAATTGCATTACTTTCACTAGTAATTTCACAGTGGGACTTCTCTTGTATGTAACTGCACTCTCAGAAATTTCTTGTAAACAAACTGTGTTTCTACAGTGCATAAGTACTATGAAGACACCCAGCATGCTGTAGAGTTTTTAAATTCTTGTTGTTTTTATTTGTGTTATTGAACTTGTTTTTGGCTCATTTTTAGTGGTTTGTGTTGTAAGTGTTGTTTTTATTTGTTGAGTTTTACCATTGCTGTGTTTTGTATGTCGAGTACTGATGTCACATCTTTCAAAGATGTTTCTCAGCAGTTGCTTCACTATTGTGAAAGATCCATCCACAAACAGTTATGATTATGAAATATTGTAAAATAATACTCTTTAATCCTGTAGAGTATTACACTGTGTTTACAGTGTAGGATGGCTTGAGGGTGGGTCATTTTTATTTTTGGGTGAACTATCCTTTTAATGTGACATGGAATAACAAGAATATCTGTAGAAGAGTTCTTTTCAGTCTGCTGCAGTATTTTCCTCCTTATTTTTTAAAAAAGGTGGATACTACAAAGCAGTACAAAACAAGTCATTGTTATTTGACTTGTTCACACTCCAGACATCTTACAGTCGACATAATGACTCTAAATATCTGAGAACCGTCTGCTTCCATATTGATTTGACTGAAGATAGACAGGCTTTAAAGCCACCTGTGTCAGAACATTTATCCCAACTGCATCACTCATGACAGATTGAACCCAACAGCAGAATGGCTTTGCTTGAAAGCCATATGATGCTCATGTATACACTGCGTCACACCCTCAGGGTGAAGCACTTTTCTGCTCCATCAGTTCCTCTGCAGATTACCGGTGCCAGCCTGCTAATCAGATTAAATCGCTCCTACCTCCTCAAAGATGGCCGTCCATGACTGAACGCAAGACAGAAGCCTCATAATGCACAGAGGCATTAGAATTGATGTGTTCAGACACAACAGGGGCTGCAGATGGGGATTCTGTGATTCTACAGCTTTTCTAAAGGAGGCTGACCCAAATGTGTCCTGCCATTGCTAGACTTATTTTTAATCACAGAATATAATAGAGGTCGTTATAAAAAGTGTGCTTAAATCAACCATGCTTGAAGAGCTAATTTTCTGATTCTGTCTCTGCAGGAGTTTGGGCGTCCACTGCTCTAAGGTTCGCTCTTTAACACTCGACACATGGGAGCCAGAGCTTATGAAGGTAAGATCCCACTGAGAACTAAATGGGTGCACCTCACAAACCTGTTAAAAGTATGTTGGTATCCTATTGCACCCCTATCAAAAAAAAGTTGGGAAAAATAACAAATTTTTAGCTCTCTACTTGTAAGATTGTTTGCAAAGTGACAGTATATTTATGAATAATATCCCCTAAGTTTCCCACTAAATGCTCATTACCGTAATGTGAAATGTTGTTCTCAGTACTATAATGCAAAAAATAAGATATTCATACATTATTATAGTATTTATTTTTGCTGATTTAAATAAAAAAACATTGTATTGCAATTTTAGATTTTTATTTTATTTTGTAATAATTTTTTTTATTTTGAATTCTTACATTTTTAACTGTATATAATAGTTATACTGTAATAATAATGGGAAAGACAACTTGAAAAAACATCAGGGTGCATTACAGTAATGGGAATTTTGAGGGAATTCTATGAAAACCAGACGTCCTTTCCTTTATGCAAATGTCATTCTATTATATAATTATATTATTATTATTATATAAAACAATATATTGTTATATTATAATAATTTCGTATAACAATTATTTATTCACCCAAATCCCAGTACAGAATTAATTTAGTCGCTATTAAAACTTGGTTATGTTATGTTATACTATTTTTTACTTTTATCAGTCAAATAATGCTTTATGACTGTTTTCTCTGTAGTTAATGTGTGAGCTTGGCAACACTGTAATCAACCAGATTTATGAAGGTGCGTGTGAGGAGCAGGGACTTAAGAAACCTGGTCCCAACAGCTCAAGGTCAGTGTGCAGCCAACTCTCTGCCATTGCATTATATCAGTTGCCAGAATCTATGACTAAGATAATATTTTTTTCTTTTTGATGTCATTATATTTTCATATGGTGAATGTTTCAATGATGGAAGCTCTCGTTTGTGCTTCTGATGTTTTATGTAGGCAGGAGAAAGAAGCGTGGATCAAAGCGAAATATGTGCAGAGGAAGTTTCTGAAGAAGATGTGTGGCTCCGAGGCCCTGGTGGAGGGGAGCAGAAAATCACACCACTGGAGCGTGAAGAAGTGCAGGAGACACAACAGCTCCATCAGAGCCCCTAAAACCCGCCGGAAATACAGGCACGATGCCAGGATCATGTCGCCAGCCAATCTCTCTGCTGGTACTTGCTTTTGTCATTTCTGAACATATTTCTTCTACTGTTTTCTGATTTAGCCCTCATTCGGGTTCGTTTTGACCTGTAAGAGATATATTTTTAAAAAAAGTAAAATAACCAATTTTTAGTAAGGGAACAAAACTTTCCAAATTCTTTAAGACCCTCAAAATATGCATCATTCTTTCTTTTTTTTACGAGATATAAGCATCATTTGGGACCAGGTATATATGGAGTACCATTAGTGCCAAAAATACTTTTTGTAAAATATATTTAGCCTTTCCCCATATCTCACACACATTTTGGACTGAATTAAAAAAAAAATAAAAATATGTACGCCTATTGATGAGCCATTGCAGCATGAAAAATGTTATCACTTTTGTAATCTGAAAGTTTAATTAGAGTAAAATTAATTTATTTTGTATGAAAACTTCTCAGAGTAATATTCATGTTGTTTTGATGTTGTTTTGTAATGAATATGGTTTCATATGTCTGAATGTTTTTGAGCAATCATGAGTTATAAATTCAAAGGAATTTAATTAAATGTCATTCATTGTAATGGGCTTAAAGGGTTAGTTCACCCAAAATGAAAATTAGCCCATAAATTACTCACCCTCAAGTCATCCTAGGTGTATATGACTTCCTTCTTTCAGACGAATCCAGTCGGAGTTATATAAAAAATTGTCTTTGATCTTTCAAGCTGTTTCATGACACTCAGCAGGTGTTGCATGCATCAGTCCAAAAGCACTTAATTAAAATGCACCCATCCATAAAAAAAAAGTGTCTCACACGGCTCCGGGGGGTGTACGAAGGCCTTCTCTAGCGAATCGATGCGTTTTTGTAAGAAAAATATCCATATTCAAAACGTAATAATCACTTTAATGTAGCTTGGGCTCACTGTTGTACACTGGAAGTAGTTCCGGGCGGATGACGTATGAGGTCGGCTTTGCGCATGCGCCACTCAGAACTGATGAACGCGGAAGCGCAGCGGAGAGATCAAAACAAAACAAGGGTCACTTATTAGAAGTACAAAACGAGGATTTGTAAAGAAGAATGTGTATGGATATTTTTCTTACAAATTCGATTCGCTAGAGAAGGCCTTTGTTCACCCCCCGGAGCCGTGTGAGACACTTATATTTTATGGATGGGCGCATTTTATTTAACTTCTTTTGGACTGATGCATGCAACACCCGCTGAGTGCCATGAAACAGCTTGAAAGATCAAAGACCATTTTTAATATAACTCCGACTGGATTCGTCTGAAAGAAGAAAGTCATATACACCTAGGATGACTTGAGGGTGAGTAATTTATAGGCTAATTTTCATTTTTGGGTGAACTAACCCTTTAATACTGGTAATTCTCACATTATTTGGTCTTATAAATTTTGTACAATGATATATTCAAAACTAAGATAAATTGCATCAAAACAAAGATATATTGCATCATAGCTTTTTGAAATTTAAAAAAAAATAAAAATCAATTTTGAATAATAAAAATTAGTAAATGCAGCAATAACATGGTAATAACATAGTAACATGTAAAACCTAAAAAATAATAACATTAAAAAAAATTCTCACTCATTAATGATCAGATACAATATGGTTTTAGTTGAAAAATATTATACGTTATGACTGTTTTATAAAATATGGAATGAGAAAATACAGATTTTGAATGCATTATGAGGGTTAGGCAAAGTGAAATGTTGACATGATGTTCTTCTCTATTTGTCCTCCTCAGCTGCGGCAGCTGCAAAGTTTCGGAGAGAATCCTTGTTTTGTCCCGACGAGCTTGATTCGCTCTTCTCTTACTTCGACACAGGCTCAGGGCCTCGCAGTAAGTTCCTCATACGACTTTACCTTCTAAAGACCATGAGACAAGTCCATCCCATATATCTCCTGCTGTTTAGTTCATAAAGACGTCGTTTTGAGAGTGGCTACAGGAACTTCAGTCTGCATGTTTGCCTGTTGCAGACAAATTTTATAATGCATTGTGTGAGAGGTCAAGCACTGAATGTTTGAGAAGGTCATGAGTAACGTGTCCCTCGCTTGGCACCCACTGGCCCCACAGGTCTCAGCAGTGATAGCGGGCTTGGCGGCAGTACTGACGGCAGCACAGACATACTCATTTTCGGCTCCGTGGTGGACAGCGTCACTGAGGAAGGTGAGAAGACGTCCTACATTGGTACGTCTATCTGTTGTGTGTTTGTCCCCTTCTTCATCTCCCATGTTTTATTGCAGAGCGTGAAGACTCGGATGAGTCCAGTGGGGAGGTTGATATCGAGCAGGAAGCATCGGATCCAGAGGACGGCAGGGAGCTTGACCCAAAGACGCTGCTTCATAAGGCGTCACGGGCCAGGAACCTATCGGTCATGGCAGAGGCGCTCGCGCACGGTGCAGATGTCAACTCCGTCAGTGAGGAGGATGAAAGCAAGAGTCCATTAATACAAGCCGTCGCAGGGGTGAGACTTCCTACACCGAACAAAATTTGGTGTAGGATTTACTTTGAAACCATTTTCACTCATAAATTGCTTAAAAAAAAAATCACAAATAAACGAGAAATTTGGAAGTAGAAAGACTGAAATACTATTTTCTTATAAAACATACTCTTTGTTTTAATTTACAACTATGAAAAATCTTTTTTTTGCAGTGTATACTTCATGTACTGCTAGTAGAGTAAATTTACGGTGTTTACTTTATTCAGTGTTTCTAGTAGGGCTGTCAAAAAAAAATTTTGAATTTCGAATGCAAAAACGTCGCATTAGAATTTTAGGTGTGCGCTAAGGAGGCAGCTTTATCAGTGGCGCACGAGATGCGATGACGATGTAAGTGTCGTTGCATTTTAATGTTTTTGTTAGCCTATCCAGTTGAAGTCACTAGATGCGGCGCTGCTGCGTTGTTAATTACAAATATTGCGGAAAAAAGGAACATCAATGCGGAGAAGATCTTCTTTACGTCAAAACTGAAACCAAGCCGTTCACACGGAACGCATATTTTGCGCATTTTCTAGAGGGACATCTATCACCGTTGCACTCGCGTCTCACAAAAGAGTGCTGCATGCTTAGAAATCCATGTAAAATTAATGCAAGTTCAACTTTGAAAAAACATATATCGAGACTCGTATATGTATTTTATATTTATGTATATACTGCATCCCACTGTAACTCGTGTTTTTAAATGAAAAATGTACTCTGTGTGATTGGCTTTCGGCTCTTTGTATTAAACTATGCATACATACATGATGCTGTTTTATTTATAGTTATTTAAGCAACTTAATTATAATTGGTTTATAAACATTATTTTAAACATTATGCACTTTTTTCACAGATAGTCATGTTATCTTATGCTTTGAATAAACGTGCATTAGTAATATTTTGCTCGATGCGCCCTCTTGTGGCCTCAGGTGAGAAGCCAAAAGCTTTTCTTCACCCTGACTGAAATTATGCATTTTAAATTCGAATATAATTTGAATTTTTATAATATTTAAGTACAAAATTAGAATTTAGTTTTTCAGCCATTTTGACAGCCCTAGTTTCTGCTAATGTTTGATATCTCTCGTCTCTCTCATAGGGCTCTCTGATAGCCTGTGAGTTCCTGCTGCAGAATGGAGCAGATGTCAATCAGAGGGACGTACGAGGACGGGCACCTCTGCACCACGCCACGTGCCTGGGTCACACGGGGTAAGAAATGACTCACAGCTGTGGCAAACCACACATAAAAGTTCTGGTCCGCAATGGGGTGGAACGGTTCGTGGAAAAAAATCAAACCGTACGGTTTTCCACACACGGTTTGGCACGCGCTAGGACCGCGGTTCAACTTAAATCTGACAACGCATCTGTAATATGGTTTGCTATAAATAACACGTAAAACAAACAGGATTCGGCTAATATATGTTTCTGTTGATGGATGCACATTCTGGCTTCCCAATACATTACGACAACAGCGATGAAAAAAAAAATATGCTGGAATATGAGCATTTATTCCGTCGTCACCCGGGTGCTGATAGCGCGCACGCACAGGTGAGACCTGAACAGCACACGTTGATATCTGTTTAAGCTAAACTCGTTTAAGCTTTGCAGTTTAACATTTAAGAACCAGAGGAAGCGAGCTCGCGCGCGCAGTGAGAAGATTTGTGCGTGCGCTCATCCAAAGCGTGCAAACCCGCGCCTCAGAACGCACACAAATATTAAGCTTTCTCTGAAGTATTGTGTTTAAATGGACAAATTCACACAAAAATTATGTCAAAATGCCCATCTTGGTAAGTATCCCATAGCAGACATAGCCGGCTGAACGTACTGTATCAGTGCATTCTCTTAAAGTGACAGCACTTTCTTAATATTAATCAAACAGCAACAACAAAGAAATCACTCACTGCTCTTGATTGAATAGCTTTTGTAACTTTAATAAACTGATCCATGTGAAAACATTTCACCTTCTTTGATAAGACTTAGGTCTCGGTTTCAATGTAAAAGCATAGCACATTAGCGAAATTTCAACTTTCAACTTCATTTAAATGGACTGTTTCACCCAAAATTTGTGTGAGGGATTGTTTGTTTACGAGAGTGCCGGGTTGTTAGCTTAGCCACATGCTAACATCAAACTGTATCGTCAATCTGTGAGGCAAATTTGTCCAAACCTCAGTAATTTGCAGATCTACCTCTGAATAACTCATCATTTAACCCTTTGTGTACTGCATGCGTGTGCCCACAGACAGGTGTGTTTGTTCCTGAAGCGAGGAGCCTCTCAGATGGAGGTCGATGAGGATGGGCAGGACCCTCTCAGTATCGCTGTTCAGGCAGCCAACGCAGACATCGTCACATTGTGAGTCAGGAACTTCACTTCCCTTTGTAGATTCTCCCCGAGTGTCACTGCACATGAAACAATGCTTGTGTTCTCTCTCTTGGTCAGATTGCGGTTAGCCCGGATGAATGAGGAGATGCGAGAAGCAGACGGGCCCTTCGGACAGCCAGGTCAATACCCCAGCAGCAGTCCCACAGAGCTGCAGTACAGAAAGTGTATTCAGGAGTTTATCTGCCTCTCGATTGACGAATGCTAGAGGGCGCTGTTGAGTGCTGACACACTGTGGGGAGAACTACTTAAGTTTGTAGCCCTTAGCAGGAATAGCTTTAGCAAGGATCGAGTGCTATCTTCAACCTCCTCCCTACCTGACCGATTAGTTTACACATTGTGTTCGTATGTATGTATGTGGTTAACACAAAATATTGAAATGGAACGGCTATTTACAGTATGCGACGGCTAGAGCGCTGTTTTGAATTGTGTATCATTCAAACGCGACGTTAATTGTGATTAATTGATGGATTAACAGCCTAATCAAATTTGTTTCGAATTAATTCGAATTCATTAGCAATTCAAAACAGCATTTCACAGTGTTATTGAGTCATTATGTGCAAAATATGACTGTGCGCACTTTTCCTACCGACAGTATTTGTTTTGTTTTGGTTTTTTTACAACTGAATTCTTGAAAATGTTGTTTGTTGTGTTTTTAATTTATGTTCCGTCCTGAGGATTAGTGCAATGATAACTGGAATACGGAAAAACCGTATCCATGTAAATTTCTCATTTAGTAAAGAAAGAAGGCGTTTACGTTTGACTAACTAGACTTTTTTTGTTTGACTTTTACATTTCAAAAACACATCGGACTCCCCTCATATGCTAATAAAACGGGTGTTTTGACCCCTTTAAGAGATGTCAGCTATTCACAATTATTTATAGAACTTATATCAACCGTCTGTTTTATATATTTGTACTTGTATTGCCAAGCTCCCAAATGACTGTCATGTGATTTCTTTTTTTAAGTGAAATGCTTGTCTATCGCAGTCTGTCTGTAGAAGCAGTCAGCATTTGCATGCGTTTACTCGCTCGCATACCAAGGCAAAGTGCCTGTCTGCATTAGCAAGCATGGTTCCTTATTTTAGCCCAGGGCTGTCCAAACTCGGTCCTGGAGGGCCGGTGTCCTGCAGAGTTTAGCGCCAACTTGCCTCAACACACCTGACTGGATGTTTCTATGCCTAGTAAGAGCTTGATTAGCTGGTTCAGGTGTGTTTAATTAGGGTTGGAGCTAAACTCTGCAGGATACCGGCCCTCCAGGACCGAGTTTGGACAGCCCTGTTTTAGCCACTTGATTCTGTCATTCTGTAAAAATGCATGACCGCAGAAGACATCTGCTCCGTGTTGTCCATTTTTTGCCCTCGTTTGGTTCAGATGATCCCAGTTCTAAGAGTACGCCATCAGAATCCTGTCTCTCTTTCTAAAAATGCATCCGAATATGCCTACTTCCATACTATATAGTAGGTGAAAAACCATATGAGAGCTGAGTAGTATATCTGAATTCATAGCATTCATAAAACAGTCGAAAAGTTGACCTACTAGCGGGATAATTGCGAGATTCTGAAGTGCGCATCTGATGGACACTTTACTATCCCATGAGGCCAGTGAAGTGACACAACTGATGCTGTAGGTCACATGGCGGATGTAGTACGTATTACACACATTCATACTTTTTTAACAGTCACGAAGCAAGTTGCAAACCAAATTTAGTACTACAGTGTTCGATTTTGGATACCGCACTTTTCTTAAGCAGTTAGCACTATGCTAAGTAGGCTAAGCTGTTAGTTTGCCAAGTATAGGCTTACAGAAATAAACAATATGACCATTTTTAGCTTCAGTAATGAAATATAAAAATTTGAAGACATTCATTAACATTTTAATGATTAAGACTACAAAGGATTTCTAATCGGGCAATGAATAAAGTACCCATAACAAATTGTCTCAGCTAAAGGAATAACTTTGGGGAGTAAGGGGGATAGGATTCTGTGTGACACCGCCATCTGTGGGTGGATTTTTGCAAGTAAAGGTGAAATATGTAAAAATAATAATAATAATATTGGCCGTTTCAAACCAAACACGTCTGCAATTGGTCAACAAATAAATAGTCCCGCCCCCACACTTATGCTATTGGTTGAGCCACTGTTGCTATGTCAGGCAGGTCGGATGCTCAAACAGAGCAATGTTTTGATAGATTGAGCGAGTGTTTATGCTTTTCGGGGGATTCAACCTATAAATGGTTTACTTAGTTTCTTCATATTAAGCTGACATAGAAAAATATTCAAACATTGAAAACAAAACTACACACTTCACCTTTAAATGGGTAGGCTACAAAGCAAAGAATATCTTTTCAGTGCAAATTTTCATCTCAATCAAAATGTGCTTGGTGAAAGGAAAATGTAACTACATCTTCAGTTGTTGTTTTACAGAAACATTCGGTCAGCTGAAATTTAGCTTTTAATATCTGAAAATAGAGACAGTGTATAGAATAGATAGTCGCCAACGAGGGACCAGTTCAGTCGTTGTGTCTGGATGTGTTTTTAACAAAGTTGAACTGAAAAATGCTTCTGTGCTGTGAATATGCTTTGACCTTTGAACTGTTCTCAACTGCTTGCTCTCTCTCTCTCTCTTCGTTGAGCTGTGGTTCTTGCATTCGGACCTTTAACTCGTTTTCTCTTGCAACATTCGGTACAATCTGTTTTCACACTGTTAGATGACATTCTGTGTTTGGTGACATTCTTGTATTGTTATTGTTTGTACGACAGAAATCTATAAAAAGAAGCTTGTCTTTTGAAACACTGACAAACAATAAAACAGACAAAGTCTTGAGCTGGTATTTCTGCTCTGCTCTTTCTCTCTTGTGACACGCTCTGCATCAGTCTGAGATTCCTTACCAACAGCTGTGTGTGTTTAAGGAATTTCGAAGGCTTTTGCAGACCGTGAAGTGTGGGGGTGGGGGTTTTTCACCCATAATGCAGTTTTCCCTTATAAGAGATGATTTCTGTGTTTATTGTCATTTATATTGTGATGGCAACATTGTCTTACTAGGTATTATTCCTCTTTTAGAACCCAGTATACCTGCGAGTCCATTGAGGGTAAAGCGCAAGAGTTCACGAGTGAGTGATGTTACAGACTGTTCACTACTGGGTTCGGGTCTTTCACTTGTAATGGTGGTTACTTTACGGGTCTCTTACTTTAAAAGGTGACTGTGCTTATACTTGTGTGCTAATAAGTGATTGACTCAATAAATCTTGAAAATGCTGCTCATCAATAAGGCCTCAGAGGAAACCTTATTTTTTTCTCACTTTTACTCTTCACAAAATCACATTGGGTAGTTGACAAATTTCCTATCATTTTTCAACAATTGTAGTTTAAAATTTAGACTTTATATGTGTTTATACACCATCTATCAAACATTTGGGGTTGGTAATATTTTTAAAAACATTTTTGAACTAAATCCCTTATGCTCACCAAGGCTGCACTTATTTATCAAAAATACTGTAATAAACAGTTATATTGTGAAATATTATAATCTAATTATGCTCACCAAGGCTGCACTTATTTATCAAAAATACTGTAATATTTTGAAATATTACATTTTTGTGATGGCATTACTCCAGTCTTCAGAGTCACATGATCCTTCAGAATCATTCTAATATGCTAATATCAATGTTTAAAACCTTTTTTTTCAGATTCTATGATTAACAAAGTAAAAAAAAAAAAGGATTTATTTGATAGAATTAGAAAACTTTAGATGCAAATTTAATGCATCAAGTATTAATTAATTGCAAGTATTAATTTCTTTAAAAAAAAATACTGTCCCCAAACTGTTGCATGGTTCTGTATGTATATTCTATCTTACACACATTGCAGTT